GTACACTGCAATGGAGCTGGAAACAATGTTGTAAGAAAGCCTTGTAATAAATACACGGAGTTAGTGATTTCCCAGGAGATGTTTATTTCCAAATTTGACTCAAAAAGAATAAACCAGAAAAGACCAATGATGTTCAAGAAATAAATGCTCAGTATGGATCTGTGTGGACCTGGCAAGGGCTGAGGTCGGCGTCTGAGGCACGGTCTGGTTCTCTCTCTGAGCCGCGTGCGGCGGCCGTGAGGGGCTGAGCACCCTCACTCGAGGGGATTCTAAGGAAGCCTCAGTTTCCTCTCAGCACCGAAAGTGCTGCCTGTTTTTGCCAAACCTTATAAATCACACAACCTGAATGGCTGCTTCCCGAGAATCTCAATTCAGAAGTCTGAAAAAATCTTGTGCCGAGCCAACTCTTTCTCCTATTCTACCACACAAACATGCTTCTCCTCTCCCCAGCTGGAATCTGATCTAAAACCCACAGAGAAAACTCCTGAAACCTCTAGTCTTTGGGGTCAGGACGAGCTGGACTGCTGAAATCACAGGATTGAAGCCCAGAGCACGCGGCCCGGGACATGCTGGGCCCAGCCCAGAGCCAGATATGGACCAGACACCCTCCCTTCCATCTTCTTAACCTTCAAAGATTTTGCTGGAATGTTAAAAGTCATGGTGTTTTCTCCAGGCCAGATTTAACTCCCTAAACACTTCAAACATCCCAATGGATTAAAAAAATGACAAGGTAAAAAGGCAAATGACAAATGGAAAAGATGTTCCGCATCCAAGAGCAAGGATCAGCCTCTCTCACATACAAAGAGCCTGTGCAAGTCACCAGGAAACATCAAACCATCAAAAACGCAAGGAGCACAAATAAGCCGGTCACAAAAGAAGAAACACAATGAAACAGCCAATGCATAGGTGAGAAAAATAAAAGTCCGTCTTCACTTACAGTCCAAGAAATGCAAATTAAACACCAAGATACCATCTGCAAGAATCCACCAGGCAAGTGTGTCTTACACAGATCATGGCAGTACTGGCGGGACAGCTGGACCCTGATCCCCTCCATTAGCACAACTGGGGCACAGCC